TGTATGTTTGTTCCTCCCATCTCAAGAGTACTTTCATACTAGACTATCAGAAAACTTAAAACTTACAATGTAGAATTCATGCTAAATTCATGGTTCAAATTGATCTACGTTTGTTTTTCTGTATTTTATCAAGGTACAAGAGCATGCAATTTGGCTGAACTTGGGCTCTTTTCGAGCGATAGCAATGCAAGAAAATGTTTATATATTCAACTATAATCGGTATCTTCTTCAAGATCAATAAATCTTGATATTTTTGTTTGAGATTTTACTGTATTTAATTGGTAGAGTTGAAATTGTGTGTACGAGAACAGTGGTTCAAAGGTGGTATAATATAACCGACATCTGCTACAACTGTCTAGACAGAAATATTGAGCTGGGAAATGGTGAAAAGATTGCTCTATTTTGGGAGGGAAATGAACCTGGTGTTGATGGTAATTTTAGTTATAACCAACTGTTGCAGAGAGTTTGCAAGGTTAGTCTTACCCTTCCTTTTTGATTGATTTTGTTGCCCCTTTAGAGTGATTCTCTTATTTTTAACTAGACTTTTCTCGTCTAATGGATTATGCTAACAGCTAGCAAATTACCTTAAAGACGTTAGCATCAGAAAGGGTGATGCTGTCGTGATTTATCTACCAATGCTGATGGAGCTGCCAATAGCTATGCTTGCTTGTGCTTGTATTGGTGCTGTTCACTCGGTACTGCATAGCAAATTTCTTTTTTACAGTATATGTTCTTTTCCTTCTGCAGTTCACTACTTCATTCTTTTTCACAAACCTTTGAAATTTACAACATGATGCTTCATCTATGTTCAAGTTGTTTTTACTAGGTTCTTTGCTGAATTTCTTGCTGAGAGAATCATGGATTGCAAACCAAAGGTTGTAATAACTTCCAATGTTGTTCGAAGAGGCTCAAAGATCATCTATCTCAAAGATATAGTTGATGCTGCCCTTGCAGACTCTACTCAAAATGGCTTTGCCGTAGGTGAGTCCTGAGTTCATTGCGTGAGCAAAGTTCTCGATTTCCACCTTTATGATTCCATCAACGTATTTGTCTTTCTTCTTCTAAACTAGCAAAAGTGATTTGGGTTGTCCCTAGGAGAACCAGTTACTAAAATCTGCAAATAACAACTTCGAACCACAGAGAAAAACTTAGTAGTATTATGTGCTATTGAATTAAATTAGACAAGTTGTAGTCTTTCTTTTCATTAATTTGTTTCTTGCCATTTATTTTTTCAGGTGGAAGGATTAGCGGATGCTTTAGTTCTATTATAATATAACATTTATAAGTCTGATTTGCATTAAACTATGAAGCATGCCTAGAAATTTAAATGGTCTTTGAATATATAATGTGGTGCTGAATGAAATCAGCCAAATTTAGTCTTTCTATTTGTTCATTTATTTCTTTTATACGAATGTATGTATGAATTTTTTTTAATACAATCTCCCATCTAATCTTAGCATTCAAGACGCTAATATTACCTTGAAAATAACACAACCCGTGCATAGCACGGGACAAAAACTAGTATATATAAAAGTCTCAATTCGATAC